CCCGCCACCATCTCTGGGCTCCCAGGCCCAGCTCAGAAAAGCTTCTCCTTTCTCTTCCACAGCCTCCGCCTGGTCCGTCTCCCTTGGAGCCTTCTGGAAAAGCATTAACCCTCTCTGAGCAGCCGGCGGAGGAGCAAGGAGCTGCTGAGGGGCTGAGCAGCGGGGAGAGGGGGGGAGATGGGGTGTGTGGGGAGAGAGCAGCCCGGGGACACCCCCCTGCCCGGCCACGGGTTGTTCCCTGTGACGCACGCAACTTCCCGGGGGGATGTGAAGGGTCCTGCCCCCACCCCCGCGGTTTAGCCCCTTGGGATGAGCCCTTCCGAGGTCGGTCGGTCGCTCGGGTTTAATTTTAGAAAAGCCCTTCTATTTTTAATGAAGAAAAAATAAATGTTGAGGGAAACGAAATAAAGAGGAATGACCCAGGGGAGTGAGCACGTCTGCGGGTGGTGGTGACTCTGCTGAAACCACCACAGGGCTGGGGCCCTCGTGGCTCAGGGGGAAAACCCCACTTCTCCTGAGAGATACCAGGGATCCTGTGAGCCCTGAGATGTGGTCAGACCGTGCCAAGACACCTCTGTGTCCCTTGGCATGAGGGGCAGCTGCTGCTCCAGGTGGGTCCAATCCAGGCTCTCCCCACTCCCATCCCCTCTCCGGTGTCCAGGGAAGCCCTGGGGGGAGGACTCAGTTCATCTCAGCATAGAAAAAGGAACATTTTTAACATGATGGAAATTTCTGCGAGATGGAAAGAACATTTCAGAGCTTAATTTTTCCCCCAGCTTGGAGAGGTCTGAGGAGGTATTTTGGGGCATCAGGAGGGGTTTTTTTCCTGCCCTTTTCTGAAGCCCCACGCTGATCCTTGCCCTTCCACAGCCAGCCACACATGATGCTGTTTTCAGAATGGAAGTTTCATCCTCTGGGAAGACAAGATTTTCATGTGCCTGGTCTCTGCCAGGAACGTGGGATTTTTTAAAGCAATAAATACCTGAAATATCTCTGATGGGGAAAAACTGCTCATGCCCCATTAGTTAACCACAGCAGCATCACATGAACGGGCGAGGAGAACAGGATCCAGGGAGGGCAGGGGCGGAGCTGGCACCGCCGGGGTGGGCTGGAGTTGGTGGGTGAGACTTTCAGAAGGCCATGTTTACAGAAAGAAGAGGGATTTCAGAGTCTGGGAATGCTGGATGTGGTTTGTGTTGCCAGCTGAAGACGTGACACTGCGATTTCCTGTCAGCCAAACTCCCGAGAGAAACACGGAGTTGGTGACTTTGCCCCCAGTGTGTTCCCAGTGCACCAGCTGCCCCGGGCTGGTTCCTCACTGCCGAGCCCTGGAGATGAGGAAAAGCTCCTCATTCCACCACCAAATATAGTCGAAAATCCCAAGCTTGAAATATTCTGGGAGGAATTTCTTCAAGCATAAGTCAATAACCTCTGCTTCATGAGGCTGCATCTGATGTCAACATCTGCAGTGATTAAGAGAGAGTGAGTAACAAGGAATGCATGGAATGGAAACTCAGCTGAGTGTGAAACCAGGAACAATAATTTTCTCTTACTCAGAGGGTTTTTCTCCCCTCGGAGGGCCTGACAAACCCCCCAGCTATGCACAACAATCCCTTCCTCCATGCCCTGGATCAGCCAGCTCCATGCTGGAAGGTGGTGAGACCCAGCCCAGCAGCTGAGGACTGGAAAGGGATGGAGACCACCAGGCAGGAGAGGTGTTTGCAGGCAGACACAGCCATGGTGAACGGGGAGAGCTCTTCAGCAGCTGGGACACCGGGCTCTGGAGCTCAGGTTGCAGCCGGGGAGCAGCACTGCTCTAAATGGGGCTACGCTGGCAGGGGGGGAGGATGTAGTTTCTCATCCTGGGAGGGTTTTATCAACTCCCAGTTTGGCAGCAGAAGAACCATTTTCTCCAGTATCACTGTCCCAGCTCCTCTGGCGTGTGGTGTAGCCCCGGGGCTCCCCCCGGGATGTCAGGAGTATTTGATGGTGAGAGCCGATCAAACGGTGATACCGGAGGAGGAGCCTGCACGGCTGGCGTCGTTTTCCAGTTCAAACAAAACTGGTTTGGGAAGTGCCACCTTTGGGGAGGAAAGGCCAAAAAAAGAACCCTCAAGCCCTTGCTGAGCTGTTGTGCACGTAAGGAAAAGAGCAGTTAATGGTAATTAAAGACGCCATCAACATTTCACACGTGGCAAGGGGCACTGCTGGAGGATCTGCCGCGGGAGCGAGCTGACATTCCAGCTTTTGTCGCCTGCTGCCAGGGACACGTTCCCTGTGTCGCTGCTCTCACATAATGGCATCCCTTGTGCCGGGCTGGAAGGCGCTGCTGCTGGACCCTCGGGCCTTGGGGATCAGCCCGGCCCTGGCAGAGGAGCAGCTCCGGCCCCGCGGCGCTCGGTGTGCAGCTCTGCGGGCATCGTCCCGCGCCCCGAGCACAACGGGGAGCGGTTCCAGACCCGCAGCCACCTCCCTGCGTTCCCGTGGGGTTGTTTATCGGCAGCAATTCCTGCGTGGAACGGGAGGGACGCGGGGGGTCTGGGCGTTCCCGGCGCTGGGCGCACGGCAGGGCTGGTTGCTCCTCACCCCTTGGGTGATGATTTTGGGGGTCTCAGGGCGCTGTGCTCAGGACACCAGCAGCACCCAGCGCGGCTGCAGCAGCACAGCCCGCCCTTAGGGATCACCTTCAGGCAGTGGGGAAAAGGGGTTGTTGGAAGCGGTTGTGTCTCCTGGAAGGTTCCACCTCTGCCATCTACCGGTACTGCAAAGATCCCCAGCACATTCATGTCCCTTCCCCATCCCTTGATGTCCTCAAATCCTGCCTGTAATTGGATGGTCCACAAATGCAGTGAGAATTCCTAACTTGCAAACTTCGTTGCAGAGCTGCTGTCGGCTCCTTAGTGATGGGGTCAAGTGGGGGCAGCTGAGATTAATTAGGACCATTTATGTTGAGGTGGTCCCGGGTCTTCAGAGCTCAACCTGGGTTCTCACAGCTAAAATCTAGTCCTGAAGGAACAGGAAAACACTTGGAAAGTGAGTCGGGAGGAGAAGGCAGCCATTTAATCATGAGAAGGAAACAGCCACGTTGTAAACAGCACGGAGTAAAGTAAGTGCGTTTTATTTTGCGTTCAGTATCTTTGGTTTGAAGGCAATGGAGCAGAAAATCAAAACCTTTTATAAGTAGCAAACATTTGTATACTCTAATGGAACAGTGATCTTAGCCTAGGTGTGTTTAACGTGTGCCTGCAACTCAGCCAAGGCCTAGAAAGGCAAATACAATCTAACAACTCAGTTATTGCACTGGGCAGGGAGAGGGATTTGAAGTCTCTTCTGCTTGGTGGTTAAAAGGTACCTGCAGTCTGGGGGGGAAAAAAACCTGCCTTGCTTGATCCAAAGCAGTGAAATTGCTTTCAGGAATCACCTTGTCCTGCTAGAATTGAGCTCACAACCTCTGAGTGCTTCTGTTGCAGAAGGCAGGAGTCAGTGAGAGACCCTGGCAAAGTGGAAAAATGTGGCTGAGCTTCTCCCCTTGCAGCTGCCTCCTTCTCCCCCGAATCCCAAGAGAAAACAAAATTAAAAGATCAAAATGTTTTTGGTTCTGAACTAAGATAACATTCTTCAGTGTGTGTCTGCACACCAAATATGAGAACCCTGTCATTTTTTTTATTGCGTGTGCAAACATACACAGTGGGAAAAGAATGTGGTTCATGTTCCCAACACGGGGGCCCCCAGCCCCCTGCCTCAGAGGAGCAAACCACACAAGCAAAAGCTCCCAGGTCCCCAAGAATTCCACCAGCTCATTCAGCTGGTCTGACATGTGTGTCCCTACCTTCTCCCACTGCCACTTCAGCTCTTGCTGGATTGGAAATGTAAGTAGTTGGGCTTTGCAAGTGTTAAAAGTCCACAATAAATCCTGCAGGAGTCGAGGGGCAGTCTGTGAGATCCTGAGCATCAAACAGGGTCAGTGCTGCTTCTCATGGTCAGGTACAGGATTTCTTTGTGGAAGTTTGCTTGTGCATTTACCAGGTGGAATAGATTCAAGAAGCTGGTGTCTTCCTCATCACGGTCTCCTGCTAGGGCAAAGCAAAGCACTTAAAAATGATCAGTGAAACTAAATGACTTCTTTGAAGATAAATCTTACTCCTTCAGTGTTTTCAGCAGAGGCTGGATCAGCAGCCTCTGCTTAGATTTATGAGGCAGCAGCTACTGCACCTGACAGCAGGGCAGCTGTGAACTGGCACAGGAGACTCTCCAACATTCTTTCACCAGCTTGTCCAAAGATGGGCAAGAACAATTGTGCATGACAAGACAAAAATCTGTCCTGAGCAGGCAGTTAATCTTTACAGATTGCCATCCTCCTCAGGCTGGAGGTTCTCCCCAGGCTGTGGCCAGGGAGCAACTGAAGCCAAAGGGGCTGGCTGGGAGCATGAGTTCAGACACAGCCCAAAATACCTCAGGCCCTGTGTGCTGGTGGGATGCATCCTAAAAGGCTGTTGGTTTCACTCTCCATGGCACTGGAAGTCTCTTAGACAAGAGAGATTGGGGAAAAAAGAGACAAAAGTGTTTCCTAATGATGACACTTGGTTGAGTAAAGAGCTCATCCTGGCTGGCAGAGCCCAGGCTCACCTGTCAGCACTGCCTGCAGCATGTCCATGATCATGTGTGCAAAGGCATTCTCCACACACTGCAGGAAGTGGTTTCTCTCCCCTGGGGTGCTGAAAACTTTGCAGACCTTCTGCATCATTTTCACTGCCCAGTCCATGCAGTACAGGTCCTTCTCACAGACCTGACAGGCAGAGGAAATATCAGAATCAACCTTTGTGATGAGTTCAAGGCTATAGAAGAGAAGATTAAATCTTAAAATCAACTACTGATTCTCCTGAATGACTGGGTGGGTTGCAGCCATGGCCTGGGAAATGAGGGCTTTTTATGAGGACATTGAGGTTATTCTAGGGAGGAGCTTCTCAACCTGCTGCTAGTGGTACTTTTCTCCTCCAGGATGGGTTGTTACCTTGCAGAGATGTGCTGGTCAGGGACCAGGGGTGGAAGAGAACTGAGCCTCTTGATGGACTCACTCCTGGTAGGCAGGAATAGATGGAGAAGTCTGAGAAGGGAAATGTGGGGAGACCAAAAGGCTGAGCCTGCTCTGTTGGGTGGTACTCACCAAAGCCAGGAAGACTGTCAGCCTGGCTAGCTCCATGGCTCTCCTGTTCACAGCTTTACTGGCCATAAAAGTGAAGCAAATGTTGTTTCCACTCAGAATCAGAAGCCGGGCGTTGTTCTCCATGAGCCACTCCCGGGGAACAACTTGGGGATCAAAACAGAGAACTTTAGGGATCTTTGAACAAAAAGGAAGGAGTGTCACCAACAGTGTGCTGGAGAAGATTGATTTATGACTTGTGGGCTTTGACAGCTAACCAGTATTTTGAGGGAATACCCTCTGGAATCCAGTTGCAGCAATGAAGTCATACAAGCAGTTCCTCCCAGCAGTGCAGTTGGAGCTCTACACGGTGGCCTCTGTGATACAATCTCACCCCAAACCAACTCTGTGTAGCTGCTCGTGTGGTTCAGTTGAATTTTGGCTGGAACAAATGTTATGTTTTCAGCTTGGACCATGTCTCCTTAAGAATGGCTAGATGAGACTTGAATTGTAAAGGTCTAAAACATTTCAGAGGGGGGAAGGACAGCCTGGCTTTGGGAGCAGTGCTGGGCTCCTCCCATCCCTGGATGCTGAGGGTAATGACTTTTCCAGTTATGCCACAGCTTCCGTGAGGAATGTTGCAGTCAGTTTCCCAAGGCACCTCCTCCCCTGCAGCACATTTATTGCCAGGTTTGGAGGGCATGGGCAGGTAATCCCAGGGATTAATGATAAAGGCACAAACACACCTGACAGCTCATCCACAAGACTGATAACATCGTCTGCCGTCCATTCCCTGGCTTCTGTGTCGTACAGCAGCTTGATTGCATCTGCCAGACCTTTCAGACTGGTCTCATCTGTTGGTCCTTCTGTCATTTTCTGCCAAACCACATGTCCTGAGCAATATATTAATCACAAATCCTATTAAGTGACAGAGTAATGCATTTATATGTTTGTTTGTTTGTTTATAACCAAGGAAGGTGCTAAATTGGGCCTCAGGGTGCAGCCAGAGGAAGGGACTCAGAGGAAGAGACTCAGTCTTTGGGACAGTGAGATTCTTCACCACCCCCCCCCCAGCATCTGCCATTTAGCAGGGACAGTGTCAGTTGCAGCACAAATCAAAGAGTTTTAAAGAAACCCGGGTCTGATAATTAAGTGAGCAAGCAGGCTTTTCTGCAGGGGAGCAAGTGCTGCTTGGAGGTGCATTTGAGCTAAGTCTCTCCAAAGCAGGGGAGCACAGAGGAGCAGGGGTGCAATTTCTTCACTTGAATTGTAACTCTTTATGTATCTATGGATGTACAGATACATACACCCACTATCAAATACAGGAATGATCTAGAAGTTGGTTAGGTCTTCTTAAGCAGAGCAATTTTTCTAGGCAAAATGATCACATTCTATTTGCATGAAGCTGCATTGCCAGAAATGCTGCATCCTGCAAGGAAACCTCGTTCTCAGGGATCACACTTGGCAAATTAACCCCCCCCCCGCCCCAGACTAGTCACCATCGAGGGAGGACACTGGCCCAAAGATGATGTAGAGCAGGCGAGCTTGGTTGACCATGGGCCAGGGCTTTAAAATGCGGGTCAACCAGAAAGCAGAGTCACTCCTGTGGCTCCAGTGGTTGAGCAGCACAGCCCGGCAGTACAGCCTGATCCGCAGCTCCAGCTTCCGGGCGCTGCCTGCAGGAGAGAGTGTGGATTGTGGGAATCCATCCAGCTGCCTGCAACCTGGGTGATCACTACTTGTTTTTTTTTTCTAATAGGAAGAGAAAGAAGGGTTTTCTTAAAGAACATCTAGGGAGATGAACTTAAATTCTCAGCTGTGATTTCCTGAGTTTGGCTTTTCTGGGTCTGTTGGCCACAGAATCTATCGTGCCCCCTCTGGCCCCTTGCTGCAGTTTGTGCCTGACTTCAGGGGCCCTCAGCTCTGTCTTTTGGTTACTTTACTCTTTTCTCTTTGATGGCATCAGTAAGTGGAAGCAGGAGGAAGTTGTTTAGATGGTTGCACATAAAGTGTCCCATAGAAAGACCCCATTCTGTGCTGGGCAACCTGAGAATTTCTGGAGAGGAGTGTGCCACATCAGTGATGTGTTTCAGAAATACTAAATCCCGCTTTTTGCTGCATCACTGGTTTTCTGTGTTGGATCTTTTCCCATGGATTTCACTGGCTTGGAGTAAAGATTCAAATCCATGTTGCTGCTTAAGTATATACATCACTTATCCATTGGTTTGATGATTCAGAAAACCCTGAACACCTCTCAAGAGAAGTGTCCTCACTACAGGATTTGTGTCAAAGACAAAGGGACTTTGCTTTGCTTTTGGTGATGAAAAAATAGCTCCCTAGATGAGGAGCAAGTATTTGGTTTAGAATGCCAGATTTCTGGGAAAAGCTGGGGCTGGCAGAACATGCAGGAGAGCCAGGAAAGGGCTGGTGCTGGAAGGCTTAGCTGAGCTAAATCACTCTCAGCTCCAGACACATCTTGTTTGCACTAATCAAGATGCATTTTCTGACTTCTCCATGATGGCACTTTCTGATCTTGTAGGCCTTGGTTCTGCCTGGTGCTTACCTGGTTTGCTGCTGACAACTGTCTGCACCTTGCGGGGCAGATTGCTCAGCTCACAGAGGAAGTTAAACACACGGTGACACTCCAGTTCATCCCAGCCTGCTGTTAGGATCTGAGGATTGGGAAAGAAAGGGAGTAACAATTAATAGATTGAGCCTTAGATGCCACTCCTCATCTCATGTTAGATGAACACCATCTGTCCTGCAATTTATGAGGAGAACAGAGGGGGAAGGTGTCACACCTGGAGTGTGGTGCTTGCACAGCATCTTCCTGATGAGTATGGGGAACCATTATCTGCTTGAGGAGCTGTAGGTGATGGCAGAGGTTGTTCTTGGGCTTAATGCAGCCCCAAAGCACAAGCTGCTAATGCAGCTCCACTTTTATAGAATCATGGAATGGTTCAGGTTGGAAAGGGACCTTAAAGACCATCAGGTTCCAACCTCCCTGCCATGAGCAGGGACACCTCCCACCAGCCCAGGCTGCACAAGCCTCATCCAACCTGCCCTTCAACACCTCCAGGGAGGGGGCAGCCACAACCTACTGGGCAACCTGGTCCAGTGCCTCCCTACCCTCATGGGGAAGAATTTCTTCCTGATGTCCAACCTCGATCTCCCCTCTTTCAGTTAAAAACCTTTAGCCTTTGTCCTATCACTGCCCTCTCTGGTGAAAAGTCTTTCCTGATCTTTCCTGTAGGCTCCTCTTAGTTGTTGGAAGGTGCTAAGCTGTGCATTGCCAAAATAATTCCTTTGGCACTGTTTTTGTTTTGTTTAATGTTAAGCTAACAATATTCTGGCATGTGAAGTGTCTAGCCATTTACTTTTAAACTAAACCACCTCTGCTCTTGGTTTGTGAATTTGAAGCTGTGTAATAAAATGCTCCCCTTCTCCTGTGTCTCCTTGGATAATAAATCTCTAATAGAAATCCAGACTGGTTGGTAGGGAAACCCAGACCAAGGAATCAAGAGTCAAATCAGCAACTTTAACAATCAGAAAGGAAATTGAGGGAACTGTGTGAATAAATATCCCCCCTTACCACTCAAGGATCAAAATAGTTTTATACTTCTAGATTAATTTAGAAAATAATCTTAATTTTCTTTTATATTTGTGATACTTGCCTTCTCTCCACAAAGATACTGTACCTGTAAGAACACCCCATAGCACTGCAGTCCTAAACAATGCAGAGGGTTTGGGCACCCATTGAGCTTAAAACAGGAAATCTGCAAGTGTGAAACACCAATAATTTATCTGAACTGGGATGAAAAATGCTGTGCTGCTTGTGCACCTCAACACTGATTAGAGTGATTCAGGATTCCCTTCCCTAATTGGATAAGGAAACAAGTTACAGCATCAATGTTATGGCCCAGCATTGTGTTCTAAATTGTGGCCAAAGGGGTGAGCAAAAGGGCTCTAAGAAGTGCAAGGTTGTGTTTAGCAGAGTGACATTTCTGTGCAGACTTGTGCTTTTCCAAGCTAAATTCCTGGTAGTCCAGAAACTGGAGGAAAGCTGCAAAGCACTGATCTGGGAATGTGGAATCCCAGTAGGAAAGCTGTGTGCTCAGTCTGCTGGTTTAGGTTCTTCTGTTACTGTTAAAGAGAGATTGATTATAAATCAATATATTCATTACACTGCAGTAATAAGCTCCAGCAAAGGGACAGTTAAAGGCATAATTCAACTAACTGCCTTCTGTGAGTGCAAAGGGCAGCTTCATAGAATCATGAAGTTATTTGGGTTGGAAAGGACCTTAAAGATCATCCAGATCCAACCCCCTGCATGGGCAGGGACACCTCCCACCAGCCCAGGTAGCTCCAAGCCCCATCCAACCTGCCCTTCAACACTGCCAGGGATGGGGTTTGCAGCACCAGTGAGAGGAATGTGAACTTACCTCTGAGAGAACCTTGTGGATAAACTTCAGTCTGTCTTTTGTAGGCAGGAGAAGTGTGCATCTCTTGAGCAACAGCCCTGTGAACACAAGGAATACTTACAGGACTCTGAGTTACAGACATGGCACACGGGTTACTAGGGGAGCTCCAGCATTCCCAGGCACACACTGGGAAAAGCTGCTGGAAGGCAGGAAGAGCAGCACCCTGGACTCTGGAGAAGGGCTGTGGGCTTTGTAGCAGGGACATCTTTTCCTAAAGAAAAGTTATCAGGTGGTACCTAAGTTTCCTTTGCCAGAACTTGTTTATTTGTTGTTTTAAAGCCCTATTAAAATCACAATGTTGGTTTTAGAACCACAGCTGTTAAAAATGTTGGAAATACACGTTACTTGTGGCACCTCTTCTAACAGCACCCTGGGGAGTGCTGGTTTTCCCCTTACATCATGGAAAGCTGAGCTTCCTAACTTTTTTTCCAAGATAGCCACATGATCTAAAAAGAAAATATTCTAAACTATGTTAATGTAAAACATGGCTACAAGGTGAAATAATATTCCTACACAGGACTGAAATGGTTTGTGTTCAGGGTGTCAGTCTGGAGTCCATTGTAGTGTGGAACAGCTGTTTGTTAAGCAGCATATTTTACACCACTGGTTAACAACTTGCTGTTCAAAAACTACCACCCTCATCTACAACCCAAGTTCACTTTAAACAATTAAATTCTGACCCTACTACAAGTGTAGGAGGATTTTGCCATGGACTTGAGTGGGGCCAGAGCCCTCTGAGATTGAGTGAGGTTTATGTCACCTGTGGGAGGAATTTTTCCCATTCAGTCCAGTCTTTCTTGCTGTAAAGTAAATATTGATTTTTGCAACTGATCCCTTAACAGAAATGTTCATTTGAGCCTTCCACTGATGGCACAGATGCTGAAAAGACCTTTATATTTTGAATATGTCATGTTTTACTGCTAGGCCTGTAGTGATGGGTTCACAGCTGCATCTAAATAAAAAGTTGGCATTTGCAGTTACTACAAAGCCCAAAGGCATTTTGATTTTTTTAAAGAATTGTAGTATTTCAGGCTTCATTTAAAAAATAACCCACTACTATTTATTTTAAGATGCCACAAAACCTCCACGGATGGCTTACAATAGGAGGTTTTTGGTTTAAATCACTTCAGCAGTGTGAGAGCAGAAGAGCTGACATTTCTATGTTGCCCTTAAGCTAAGAGTGAGAGGGAAATGTGTTCTTTGTGTCCATGTCAGCCTTGGAGCTCTGACACAAAGCTGACAAGGGGAATGCTTGTCCTTGGCAACTGTGACAACCCTTTTGTGATGAGCTACTTCTTTCCTGAGAAGTGGGGTGTGATCTGCAGGGCAGGGAGTATCAAGCAGCCCTTCTGATGGCAGCTGCTGTAGAATTGGGCTGGGTTTCAGTTCTCTGGCTACATTTCCCAGGCTGAGGAATGTGAGCAGCTCCAGAGTAATCCATGAAGGAAGAAGGCTCAGCAGCCAGATTCCTCCAGCCAGTGTGGGGCCTGGGACTTCTGGGTTCTGCTGCAGTTTCCAGTGGTGGTTGGTGTCCAAACAACCTAAATCTGGAAACACCTACTACTGGGAGCTGATCTTCTGCCTGAGCCCTGCTTGCCATTCAATAGGAAAAAACACACACAGAGAAAGCAGACCAGGCATAATTTTTTCCATAACTAAGATGTTTTGGAGCAATTACAGGTAATTCCTCCTCTCTCTTCCTTGCCACTTAATGGTATTTGATTTGACTGTTTGGCACAGGGAAGAACTTCCCTTTCAGAGGGAGCTGCACAAATTATTTGGGCCGTAACCTGAACATTTTCCCGATCAATGCAAAGAAACCTTTTAGCTGAGCTGGGGTCTCCTCTAATTGTTACCATTTGCATTAAAGGATCACCTAGAGACTTGTAGTGCTCTAAAATAGAGCATCCTTCTCTCATGCCAGGTAGCTCAGAGTTATGAAAGTCTTGCAGTAAAAGCCTTCGGTTTCCTGATGGGCTTGAGATGTAATTAATGAGGCGGTTGCTGATGGTTTTTGACACCATGCTCAGCATGCTGATGTCCTTCACTGGAAAAAGCAGAACCCGGGTTACTAGTCAGTCTTTCCTGCAATCAAAATGCTGATCACTCATCAATAACTTGATCTGACTTCCAAAAGAAGCCAAGAACTAAAATTTACAAAGAAAACGTTTAATTACCGTTTATCTCCTTGGTCAACAAAACGTAATACTTTGAAATCGATAGATCTGAAGAATGCTTTTTTATGCCAAAACCACCCCAAATAGCTTGTAATTATTTAAATGTTGGTCATTTGGTTCATCATACATAAGAGCTGCAATTTCAGACAATAAGTCACACAAAATTACTTCAACTTAGCTACAAGGTGTAACATTTTAAATAATAATGGCTTTTCCTAAATGGAAAACAAATTCCAGATGTTGGGAGAAGTACCTTTCTGCACAGGCCCTCACCTGAAAGATAATTCAATACCATTTGGAAGATCTCTAATGGAAGTGTTTTAAAATATCCCAGTGCTGACAGAGACTGGGGATCCATGTCCAGGGTGTTGCAGGGCTGCCGGGAGCGCCGGTTACTGCGCCGGAATTTCTGGTTGGGAATCAAGGTGTAGCTGGTCCCTCCTGAGGATGCCATTGTCCTTAGGCCCATAAACCACCTGGAGAGGAACACATGGAAGACTTGTTTTCAGAGGAGGAAAATACTACACCCAGAACTAGGCTAAGAGAGGAGTCACTGCATGGTCAGCACAGCAATGGAGGGGGAAAGTCTTGTGGAATGTGTAGGATAAGGTCTGTTGCAATTGAGTGCAATGATACACAATTTATGGAATAGTTTTCTAATTCCATGTCTCAGAGAATGGAATATTCAGCTGATCCTACAGGAGGAAAAGTTAAAAGCATTGGAGTGGGATGTACATCAGAAAGTGAGTGAGACAGACCTGAAGGAAACTCTCCAGGAAGTATTTGCGATGGAACAAGCTGCAGTAATTAACAACGTCATTTTCCCTCGTTATGCTAATTATTCAACAGAACAGGGAAAAGTTACAGGGATGGTATTGAAATGATTGTCAGGTTGCTTGGTTCCTTTGGGGTGGTAGCCAGGCTTCCACACATGCTTGTGCATGGCAAAAAAACCCACAAAGATCATAAGTAATAAAGCGATGCTTCAAACAATTTCTTTCCTGCAGCATTTGATACGTGGCTTCAGTTCATATCACGACCAGATGTGTGATATACAGAGATGATACAAGATTGCAATCTAAAAACACACCAAAAAGATCTAAAAAGATAAAGAAATATGTTCTTTAGGTTTGCCTTCTCCTGTCTGAGTCTCTAGAAAGTCTGCAACAATGAGTTGGTGACTCACAACCTCTTACATTTTTTTTATATTTTTTTTTTTAAAGAGATTTTTTCCCACTATTTCCTGTTTCCAGCAGCTGAGACTCCAGGGAAACTGCCAAAGAGCCTGAGTGCTCCAGTATGATCCCAAGAGCTGGCAGCACTGATGGTAATGTAACTGGAACCCATCCAAGCTGCAGGGCAACATCCCAGTTACCATCAGTGGGAAACAGACTTGGAGAATAGGCCCCATTGTTTCAAAGATTGAAAATTTACAGAAATTACAGAAAACAAGTTCCAAACACCCTTCGTATTTATTACAAAAGCACGCAAGGCAGCCCTCCCTGATGTCCCACTGAGCAAGGCTTCCACATCCACAATGGGAGCCCTGTTTGTACTGACAACTGAAAGAATATGGGGCATTTCATTCCAAAGGGTTACAAATGGGTCTGGGTGCTGGATAGAGTTTGCATTGTGCAGCTAAGGAAGTTGTACTTCACTGGAAGTCACTGTAATTTAGGGGTGGTGCAATTCTAGCTCTACTAAAGACAGAGTTTAAACTTTCACCAGGCTCATGAGCAAATGGCACTGCTCCTAAAATTAGTGCTTCATTAGGCTTTCGCACTGCTCAGGCAAGAGGCAGAAAATGGATCTAACACCTTTAAGAAGAATCAAGAAACCACCTACAGATAAACATATGGTTACGTGAGAAAATGTTTGTCATCTCCAAGCAAAGTCTGGAGTCAGTGGAAATTTTATACACACAACTGTGGATCCAGGACTACTTAAATTCCTTGTGTACAATACACAAAGCAGCTCCACTCCTGTTTATAATAAACAAGGCATCACTAAACTTTGTTCAAGAGAGGCGAGATCTGATACCTATTTCTGATTCATGCTTTAGAAATAAAGTTGCAATCCTAGGATACTTTCTTTTCCTCCCCCTCTCCCCTGGCTGTCTTTAGCAGGACTGTATTGTGGGGGTTTATGGCATCTTCAAGTGTTTTTTGGACAATCTTACCTTGCAATTGTGCTATGTGGAAGAAAAAAACACTTCACCACAAGGGTGGTTTTCAGCAGTACTCGCCCAGTTCCAGTCTGTTCCTATTCAGTTTGGTTGAAGTTGAATTGACTATCACTATTTTAATTCAGAGCAGACCTAGGCAAAATGAATGTAGATTAAAATGAGTACAAGCAGTGAGTTTCAAAGCCAAAGCTTAGAGACTTTACTGAAAGCTCCCAGTTGCTTCCTCTTTGACTTAACGTGGTTTTTATCTCTTAGGGAGTTCAGCCAGAGCAGGGCAATGGTCTGTGCACCTCCATCTGCTGCTGGGATACCACTTGTTTGGAGAACTGCTTCACCCAGACCGGAAAATCGCAAGGTAAATTTTAAATATTTAACAAGCTAAACTCAAAATATTAGCCAAGAAGGGTCACCTTATTTGTTGCTATAAGCTAATTTGTTTACAAGGCAGAAAGCATCAACTTTCTACCCAGTCTAGAATGGTTCTTTTCCTTAAGCAGTTGCTAAACTCCTGCTAATGGATGCACGTTTGTTCCTGATATTTTGTTGAACCCTGTGTTAGCATTTGGCAAACAGTTATTGCAAAAGGCTGTTTGCTTTGGAGATTGCTTTAGAACATTTCTGTTTCCCTGCCCCTGGTAAAACTAATCACTTCAAATATTAACTTGACAAGATTTGTTTTTCTTTTTGTTCGCCCCATTTTCTCTTTTAAGCTGTCAGTGCAAATAAAAACGTACTAGTTCAACTGAGGGAGGGCAAACCTGAAAGCACCGAGCACAGCCGAGTTATGTTGTTATCCTCTGGCCTACACCAAAAGGTTACAAAAAACCCCATGTTTTTATTTATATTAAAGGCTCTACATCAGATTGGTAACGCAGACCAGTCCTGTAAGCACCTAAATTGATTAAGAACCATGAGTAGAAAGCAAATCTTAGGGGAATCCCACTGCTGAGGGCGGCCGGGATTATTTTATTGTGAGGGAGGGTCTGATTCGGGCTCATCCCCCCCAGGATCTGAGCAGGGGGGAAACACCAGCACCCACTATTTTCCCTCAGCCCAGCCTGGATTTGCTCCTTAGACTGTAATATTTGAGGGACCGGGTTATATTTGGCCTTTTACCTGCTGTTTTAGGTCAGAATCAGCTGAGCTACAAACAGGCCTTTAGGCTGAACCACCAACTAGGCCACGTTCTCCTCCACCCGCCACTGCTCTGCCAAAAACAGGGCTGGAAACGGGCACCTGCCCCCCCCCCAAAAA